GTGTCACCACTCTGTAAAGTTAGGGGCCTTAAAAGCCAGTCTCAGCACAATGCAGCTTTCCAAAGAAACAAATCTGCATTGGAAAACTTGAAAGAATGTTGGATATCTTCAGGTGATCTAAGGGGTAGCTCAGGGGATGTCAGTGCATCATGGGGTAAAGCTTTGAAAGAATCCCCTTTAAACATCCCTCCCTTTGCCGAAAGTTTCACAAGTAAACGTAGCAGCTAAAACAATCTCTCCTTTCTCTGCTCTTGTAATTCGTTCACTGTGGTGCTATTTTCCTGTTCACTTTTTTCTCCCGTGTTACCCAGTCCCTCACCACCTGCCCCTGTGCTCTGACACAACTTGAACTCTGTGGGAAGCCCCCTGTCTGTGTGATTGACCGCATTGCTTTCGAGAAGCAGCTTCATTGGAATTCCGGTATTTAGATATTATTTTCCTCATTCTACATGTGAGGAAACCAAGTCCTCAAAGACACCGAGTAACTTGCTCAAGATCACAGAGCTGGTGACTAGGAGAGCTGGTATTTGAACCCAGGGAGGTTTATATTTAAAATCTTATTCTCTTATGTCGCTACACTGGCCTGCCTCGGCTTATGATTAGAGAAATCTAGTGCTAAGAAGGATCTTAGATACTTTAAGCTCCTTATCTCGCATGTGAAGAAACGAAGGTGCAGAGAGATGATTTATTCCGTTAGTAACTATCACCTAGGTTACAGTGCCACCAGTCTTGTCTCCTGAAATCTGGGCATACAGAGAATGAGGGAAAAGGCAATGCTAGAAACTTCCCCCTAAGGCTGACAAAGTCAGTTGTTCATTAGGCTTTAATTTCTTTAGGGAGTGGATCTCAAAGCTGAGTATGCACAGACTCACCTGGAGGATGTTGAAGCACCGACCGCTGGGCCCCACTCCGGGGCATCTGATTGAGCGAGTCTGGGGCGGGGCCCAAGAATGTGCATTGCTAGCAGGTGCTGCTGTCGCTGGTCTAGCGACAACACTTCGAGAGCTTCTGCTTTAGAGGGTGCTTTGTGCCATCAAATTTACAGGTTTTTTTTTTTTTTTTTTTTACCTCCCTATTATTCCAGCTAATAATACCAGTGCTGGTAGATATCGCAGATGTGCAGATCAAAAAACGCCTCAGCTTGATGTATAGTATTACAAAAGGCTACGTCAAAAGTCAAGAAGATGCTAAACTTTTAGTAAAACAAATTTCTGGCCGTGAATCAATATATCAGGTAAGAAACAAGCACTGGTCATTTGGGGAAAAAACACAACACTTAGGTGTATTAATTTCAGACCATTTCTACATGTATTTGGCCAAACTGACAAATTCCAGCAGTTGAAGGGGATTGAATTATTTATGATGTTATATGAGGTGCTTCAGAGAAGAATAGTCTCTGATCTTTACATTTCAGCTAATATCAAACTTATTATCTTCATAGCAGCAAATATACAATTTATTTTCTGAGTGCAGAGTAGAGAAGAAATTCCCTCTGGCTTTGTAACATTCTAAAAGATAGGGCACTTGGAAAAGGCTTTATGCAGGAGTTGAGACTTGAACAAGGCTTCAAAGAAGTTATAGGTCTTGAGCAGTGAGGAAGAGAGGAAAAGAGAACAAAGATTTGACAGTGAAAACTTGAAATCTCGGTACTGTAGAGCGGGCGAATAGTGGTAGTTATTTTTTTAACATTCAAGACACTAATCATTTCCAGGCAGTATGCAGTAGGTATCAAATGGGAGCATGCAGATGGACTGAATTACCCCCTAACCAGGCTCCCTCATACCAGTCTGTCCACTCCAGGCCACTCTCTGCAACTTAGCAATGTTCCTAAAAGCGCTATTTTACATTTCATTTGTACTGTCCACTTAAGAATATTCAGTGGCTCTGCATGGCCTAAAGGGTAAGGTCTTTGAATGTAAATATAGGAGAGAACACAGAAAAAAACAGCAAAAAATAATCACCCATAATTTTACAACTTGAAAGTAATATCACAAAAGAAGTAAAAGTATCTCTCCCAGCTTTCTACCACTACCCAGAGAGAGCTTCTAATAAGCATTCCTGTGTTAAATTCTTCTACTGCTTACGATAATTTTAATATGTCCTTTGCTCTTTTTTTTTCTTTCTTTGGTAGAGACAGGGTCTTGCTATGTTGCCCAGGCTGGTCTTCAACACCTGGCCTCAAGCAATCCTCCCAACCTTGGCCTCGCAAAGTGCTGGGATTACAGGTGTGAGCCACCATGCCTGGCCTGCACATGTACTTAAGGAGATGAGAACATTCCTCTCCTTTAACCTTTTCTTTTCCTCCCCGTCTTAAATTTTCAGAGCTATTATTCTTACAGGGTAAAGGTTTATAACATTTACCTTCTGTTTTGTAAGTATAATTAAGTCTTCATTCTTTTTAATAGGTGACTCTATAAATGGAAAATAAAAAACAACTTTTAATTTGTTATGGTTATATAAACATTATTCACTGTAGAACCTATCATTTGATTCAGTTCATAACAAAGGAAATATGATCTGATGTTATTAAAAATTTGCTACTTGAAGGAGACTTTTTAAAATGAAGCATTCAAATGGATTAAGGAATTTTTTTCTTTTTTTATTTCTTTTGGTGATATTCCTTGGCCACTCTTTCTGGAACCCTGTGGAACCTCTTCTTATTTTCCATTTGATTTATTATGTTGAATTATGCCTGTAATTTTTGTCATAGGACATATGGAGTTAAATGTCTAAAATTATTTTATTTTGCTCTCATAATTAATAGTTTGACTCTCAAAAACCATTTTCTTTGCACAAAACTTAAAGACGTTACCCCTCTTCAACATTGCTGATGCGTCTGATTTTACTTGTGCTTTTGTAGGTGACTTTTTTTCTTTCTTTGGAGGCTTTTAAAATTTTCTCTTTATCCTTGGAGTTCTGAAATTTCACCAGGATATGCCTAGGTATGGTTTAAAAACATTATTTCCCACATACTACTTGGTGGGACCTACAATCTAAAGATTCCCATCTTTCTTACATTATTTCTTTATTTTTTCCCCGTTTGTGTTTTCTCTTTCTCGCACCATTTTAAACAGATTTTTGAATTTTTAGAGTTAGTCCCTGTTTCAACTTTTCTTACAACTTTCAACTCTTTGCTTTTTGCAATGAGAATCCCTTAACGTGATTTT